CCGGAGTCCCCGGCTGGTAGTGGTTAATGGGGTGAAGGACATCTGAAGACCAGTCTCACAGCCTTTTTACATCCGCCAAACTTGCCTGACTTCCGCAGACAAGTTTGCAAGCCATACTGATGAATAGTCGTCTTCCACTGTAGGCGCTGGTAGTAGGCAGACCACCAAAGGACTTCAGAGCATGGGAACTGGGGGTGAATGTCTGCCGCCCAGACTCAGCTAGCAGGAGAGTAGGCTTACTCGCCTTGAGTGCAGCGCCACTCTGCACTAACAGTGACTGCAATGTGATATGGTGGTGGCAGGGGGATCTGAGCATTTGCCCAGTGCCTGAAAGTGAGGCTGTGGGCCATGCTGTGCTGTAGACTCGCCTGTGGCGGAAGGAGTGGAGCACGGCAAACCCACTGTGGAGCCTGTTGCCTGCTTGGAGAGAGTAGACTGGCCCAATTTCCGAGCGGAAAAAGCGAAGCGAGCAGAAGCTGGTCAGGAATAGTGTTGTGGCACAGTACGTTCAACCCGATCTGTAGACATGCAGAGTGAATGCCAGTGATCAGGGGCAGTGCTGCTGCACAGCACTCTCAACCCAATCAGTAGGTACAGTATACGGAGTAGCCGTCAGTGATCAAGGGCAGTGTTGTGGTGGTTACATGCTCAACCCGATCAGCAGGTAGATGGAGTGGCCGTCAGTGATCAAGGGCAGTGTTGTGGTGGTTACATGCTCAACCCGATCAGCAGGTAGATGGAGTGGCCGTCAGTGATCAAGGGCAGTGTTGTGGTGGTTACATGCTCAACCCGATCAATCCAAGCAGTGGACGTCAGTAATCAAGGGTACTGTTGCAGTACAGCACGCTCAGCCCAATCGGTAGGTAGATGCAGTAGTCATCAGTGATTAAGGGTAATGTTGCGGCATAGCACGCTCAACTTGATCAATTCAGATAAAGGTCTGGGGTAATGTTGCGGCATAGCATGCTCAACTCCGGCCTAGGTTCTCGGATAATGCACAAAGAAGCGGGGCAGTCCGCAAGGCCCCGCTCCACGGCCAGACCCATACAGCGGAACGCGATGGGCCGTTATTGTTAAAATGCAAGCACCACATCGAGAACAAAAGGCTACCTGTCGGCCCCGTTCAACGGCCATACACAACACAATACAACAGTAGGTCACACCCAAACCTGTAGATGAAGCATGGAAAAAGAGGCAGAAAAAGAGGCAGAAAATAGCGGCAAAAATACAAAATACAATAATAGGCGCTCTTACCGATAGATTAGAAATCACTCTATATTCATAGTTCGAAATCAAGTTCACAAACGCAAAGGGTTACAGAACTAAAAACTCTGAAAGGGCCATAAAGACATGTCCATAAACAATAGGCGCTGAGAAAAAAGGACAAACATGGTAGTGGGACTGCAGTGCATTGTGAAGGGTCAAAGGGCAGTATGTATAATCAAGTCTTTTCAGAGAATTATGATATGCACATGGGAAATTTGCATATGTAAGCTGGGCAAAGGCATGTGAATGCAGGAGACTTGGAAAATTTTTTCACACTTCTTCTCTTCCCAGGGAATTCATTTTCATTTCACAAATTGTGAAAAACTGTGCCACAAGTGGGAAAAAATATTCACACCTTTTCACACAAGTGGGAAAATATTTTCACAGACACAAGGCAACTTGCCCTTTCAAAAGATCTGGCCCTCTCTGCAACCAGGACTCCAATGTTAATGTACATGTATACCCCAGGGAAGGCGTCCTTATCTACATGTACTATCAATTACGCCATTCATTAACACACTGCAAGTGGCCAGTCCGACCTTCTGCCAGATTTGCTTTTCCAGAACTGCTACACGCCACCAACGTGTGGACTATCTTATTTCATGCATATACACAATAGAACATTATACATGGTGTGTATGTGCCATGGTTTGACTTAATACATACATGTACTATACCTTTACTGCACAGCAATGCACAGTCCATTGAGTATGTGTCCACGATACTGGCCTGACCTAAAGGCGATATATTTCTATGTATCTTGCTGGAGAAACTCGACTATAAAAATTTGATAATCATGGCTTTAAAGGATTATTTTAAAGGAAGTTCCCATTGAGTTTTAAATGTAGTCTCCTCTCACAGAAAAGCATATTGACTGAATGGAATGAATTGAAAAAAGACACAAAATGCTAGCAGGCAACCGAGTGGAGGCCTTTTCTGTAAGTTGGTGCACAGATTTTAAAGAAAAAATTTTGAGGACAGAGAAAAGTATTTTTTGTATCGGAAATTGTTCTTCAGTGGATCTCAGATTTTTTTTAATAAAAAGCATTTTTTTTTCATTTTCGAATCTGAAAGGTCAACTGATATGAGTCTTTCCCTTAACCCACAACCAATCATGCTGACCCTGGTTCCTCGTTATGTACAGCATCCGGGAGCACTTGTAAAGTCCAGCACCCAACAGACGGAAGTATCGCCTACTGACGAGTTGAACTTGAAGTATTCCTCCCGATGATCATCATGTGAGCAAAGCAGGGTTATGTTGAACCTACAGATAACTGGCTGCAGACTTAAAGCTTAGGCCTCTGATAATGCACGTCGGCAAGAATGAAAATGAACTAAAATATAGGCCTTTTAAAACAAAATCAACTGTTTTGATTCTGGACTTTACAAGGTGTCCGTGGGCGATTACACAGCAGCTCAAATGTTAATAAAATAAAAACAAATAAGCTACCAAAATTTCTTAATATCGTTTGTGTCCAACAAAGTGTGAAAACTCACAAAGGCAATTAATGTGTATGAAATAGACGGTGGGAATGTTTTCTTCCTCCATAAATGGACAAAACATCGATATGGTTGCATAAAAGACATTCTGGAGTATCTCCATAGAGATCATTTTGTTGAAGAAGCATTCTGACAGCGGAATTTAGTGCATACCTTTATCTACCTTCTCAATTATGGAGCAGAACTCTGACGGCGAGGTTTAGTGCACACTTTGATCCCTTCTCCCAATAAGAGGACAGAATTCAGACAACAAAGTTTAGAGTATACTATGATCCGCCCTCCCTAAAAAGGGGCAACTGACAAGAAGTTCAGTGCATACTATGATCCGCCCTCCCAATAAGGGGGCAGAATTCCAACAACAAAGTTTAGTGCATATTATGATCTGCCCTCCCAATAATGGGGCAGAATTTTGACTATGATCCACCCTCCCAATAGGGGGGGCAGAATTCCAACAACGAAGTTCAGTGTATACTATGATCCACCCTCCCAATAGGGGGGGGGCAGAATTCCAACAACGAAGTTCAGTGTATACTATGATCCACCCTCCCAATAGGGGGGGCAGAATTCCAACAACGAAGTTCAGTGTATACTATGATCCACCCTCCCAATAGGGGGGGGGCAGAATTCCAACAACGAAGTTCAGTGTATACTATGATCCACCCTCCCAGTAACATGGCAAAATTCCAACAACGAAGTTACTGTACTTTGATCCTTCATTCACACCCAATGTATTTGTTAATGTCAGCGACATCTACATCTGCGAGAAAATATAGTCCGACTTTGATTTCGTGCTCAATGACCTACATGTATGTCAGTTATATTCATTGAGATTTTACATGTACGAATGATTAAAGTTAGAATGTGAACACAGACAAGCACCAATTTTTTGTATACTTCAGTTTCATTTTATGATATATCCCGTGAAACACCTTCTATGGCATAGTATTATTCATGCACTTGCAACGCGGCTTACACGCATGCGTGCCGAGTAAGTTGTGGCCCACACAAACGACTCCACAACTCAAAGATTTAAAATAACTCAGACGTTCGAGCACCGATTTGAGCAATCAAAACGGGAAAATGTGGTTTCATAACTGGTCAAAATGGAATGCTACACTAGTTTTGAGCATACAGTTATAATTTGAAACTGGACGTGTGTTGAGAAAACTTTTGGCAAAGCCCAATCGCCGCCTGGTCAAGCCAAAGTCAAACCCCGTCTGCGGTTTAGTGCCAAGCTTGTAACAAAATCCCAAGGGCGATAACAGTAGCTCATAAAACATCCTCAAAATCCTGGTTTTACCTGCCAGACAACCTGAGTTCAGGCTGCTGAACTTGGGTCTTCTGGTAAATGAGAATTCACGGCATAGGATATAAAGTAGCTGTTAGAAAGCCTGAGATCACACCCTGGAGTGTAGCAAAAATATCCATTTTTGGAGGTACTGGTACACTTTTGCCCCGAAGCTTTGGGGATACAATATTTTTATTTTGGGGCATAGACCGCTCCAGTGTGGTAAAGCCTCATATATGTGCAGCTGAATTTATCTTTTTGACAATGTAATTTGAACTTTGTTTGGGGGCTCTTTGACAGAATTTAGGCAGGCCTTCAGTCAACCTGAGTTGCCACCCAGGCCTACCAGTACCAGAGGATATCAGGTGGTTACCAAGAACTGAACACTCCCACCAAAGCACCAAGTCTTGAATGCCAAGAGAGACCAGGATCGTCAAGGGAGACCAAGACCATCAAGGGATACCAGTATCAAATTGGAGGACTGGGAATGTCAAAACTGAGATATCTCCAATGAAGACTGTTGCCATTTTGGATCTGGCCACCAGTGGAAGTGACACCGCAAGTGCATGTGCCTTCAATACAGACTCTTGCATCCTGCACTGAGATCTCGCATTTGTGCCATCAGCCCCGAGGTTCATGAAACTGGGCCCTTTACGTATTTTATATCACTGGCACCTTTACGATTTCATTTGCATTTATTAGCCCAGTACTGACTACTCCGTGCATAAACATATATGTAATTTAAAGTATACATGTATGTACATACAGTATACATACCGTACCTTATCCAACTTTCTTGATTCATCAAATCAGCCTCCACAAGCTCCAATGGGGACCTGGAGTTCCCGCACATGCTCTTCAAATGCTTCACTTTAGTCTCATTGGAGAGACTTCTGACAGTTCCCCTTACATTATATTCAGTCTGAAGAAGCTGCTGAACAACATGAGATGCAACAAAGCCTGAAGCACCGGTAACCAACACTCCTGAAAACAAATTACACACACATACATGTAAACACATTCCGAAATTTGTACCCTAGTGGAGTCATGGCTTTGTTCCCCAGTACTAATTTGGTCATGTGTGAAACAATGTTTTCAAAATGCTCCCATTTCAACATGAATCACTCTCCTGGACTGAAATTTTAACCGAATGTCCCTTATATGAAACACACAGACAGATTCTTAAAAATTTAAAATTTCTCCTTTTTAGGCAATTTCCAAATATCAGTTTTGTGAAATCCTTGTGGAGACCTATTCACCTTTAGAAATTCCTTGTGGGGACCTACATGTATTCAACCCATTCTTCTGGGTCTCCACAAGGCACCATATTTTGGCACACGTGTGAATCTCCTACAGAGAGATCAAAAAAACTTTTCATCTCTTTTCCAAGCTTAGCTATTTTCGTGATATTGTGTCACATTCTGCATTGTCTGGCACAGATTGCATTTAACTGTGATTTGCAATTAATGTACATGTACGTGTACAAAAACAAGTCAGAGAGGCATGTGACTCTTGCCAACAACGGTCAAACAACTTTCAAAGTGGGGGGAGAGACCATCAGGCATCAGCCACTGAAGAACTTGCCAAAGTGGACGGGGATGGACAGTGGCATATCCAGTAGAGATTGTCAATCCCCCTCCCCAAGACATATTTTTGAGCCAGGCTTTTGATACTATCATGCTGAATAAGCCCAAAGCCGGGCATACATTTGCTTTTGAATTGCCCCCCAAACCAAAAGGTGGAAATGCTGCAAAGTGAGGGGAGGGCATTACACCAAAGTAGAAATAGTGCCCCCTCACCGGTGACTCTCACATGTACATGGTACATGTAGATGTACACATGCACATACCAGTATGGAGATGACAGAATATCTGCACGCATAGTAAGTTGAAAGTCCAAAATATGGAGGGCCTGACATTTTGATCCTAGCAGAATCTTTCTCAAAGGCAAAATGACAAGTGGACATGACAAACAAGCAAGCAGGGAATCAAGCAAGCATGGATGAATGCAAGAGGACAAAAGGAAAGGTCAAGAAAGCTGCAGGCTGGATAAAGGGGTCTGCATGAAAGGCCTGGTTGAACAACAAAGGAATGTATGGTAGGAAGAGATCAAAGAAAAAATACAAAGGATGGAACTGGACCCCAAGTGGGAGGGGGTATAATCTGCAGACAAAAGAGAGGGAAAGAAAAGAGTGTTAATAGTAGTTTCCCTCTTGGATGTTCAGGCCATGGGGTTGTATGGTGAAGAGGCGTTTGATCCAAAGCTGCTCCCGGTTGAAGCGAACAGCATCTTTACGGAACCCAACAGTGCGTTCCCACTTGAATTGGGAAAAGGTAGATCTTGATCCGGCATTTTGGTGTGATCATTATCTTACCACAACGAAACCGCAAGTCACGTTCCCACTCACGCTTGATCCATCTTTTCGGACGGAAATGTCGAGCCCGAAAGGTCACTTAGTTCAGTATTGCACATGTGCTAGCTTGCCGAGTGCGCGTGATCTGTGGCAGTGTTGCATGCTGGGGAGGCATGCGTGTGACCCTTGTAGCATTTTGGGCGTGGAGTTCTACCGACGTGACAACCTTAAATCAGACCAAATGTTCAGTCTTGTAAATTGTCTCTTCAAACTTTGTTTCTGTTTTTGATACTCTGTTACACAATGTGGGCTATACACTAACACGGAATTAGTTTTGATGGAAAGCAAGTGAAATTACACAAATGAAAAAGGTTAAGAAACGGACGAAAGTGCAACGAAAATTGTGAAAGGGCTTGGTTCACATCGCGGCATGCATGCATCGCGCACGTGTGGTGACACATTTTGCTAGCCCGTAGTTCAGCAGTTATTTATTGTGCATGCTGTGCACGTTAAAAATTTCACATGAGCTACGAGCCAAAAAACATTTCTTTGTTCATTAGACTGCAAAAGTTTTGCGCCACTCGTACATGGAAGGCGCATGTTGACAGGTCAAATTGCCGGATCAGATCCATCTTTTGCATTCCCATCTGATCATGATCCGCCATTTGCAGATCTGATCCACTACCTGGGGGATCTGATCCGGCAATTTGGCAAAAAGTGGATCAGAACCCTAAAGTGGTGGATCAAGACGGAACGCGGTGTTAGAGATTCTATGCCCTGTAAGATCATGTCAGACATAGAATGATCAGGAAAGTTAAAGTGGTGGCCTACAGGGGTACCTAGTCATTTGGTGTTGACCATGGATCTATGGCCATAGAAACGCTTTTTGAAAGTGTTCTTAGTCTGTCCAACATAATGAACACTGCAAGAGATAAGATGTATGACATGAGAAGAGCTACAAGTGATAGTGCCTTTGGTTCTGTGGGTGGTACCGGAGGATTGTCCAAAGAACGTACATGTACATGTATCTGATTCCAGGACATGGTTCTGGCAAACAACACATCTGTTAGAATCACACTTGAACATGCCTTGCTGGGAGGGGAAGGGTATCCAAAGGGGGCACCTCTGCCCCGAACAATAAGGTCCTGTAGGTTGTGGGGATGCCTGTGGAGGTCTGAGATGGCACTGGCTAGGCAGTCTGAAGTGTGGAGGATATGATGATTGTCGATTATTTTGCGGAGGGGAGGAAGATGAGGATGGAGAGTGGTGACCAAGAGAACCGTGGAGGCTGTTTCTTAAATTCAAGAAATTAAATACATGTACGGGTTAGGCTTATTTGTAAACTTTTTGACACAGTAATCAAATGATATTTGAACAAAATTTCACCGCATAAGTTTTTTTTCTCCTCCACTATGACAAACAATGAGATTCCTACATGTACATCTCATTGTTGCACCATTTTCATAAGAAATTTATAAACCATATGGTGTACATGTATAGAAATATTGCTCAAACCACTGCACACTTTCTTTTTGTCCATAAAATTGAGTATTTAAAGTTCACTTACCGTCACGTGTTTGTGATCCCTTGACATGCACGTGCATGCATACTTTTATGTACATATAGCAGAATGGATGGAAACTTTATGATTGAAATTTATGTTGTTCACTTTAAATGCATAGCTGGTAATCAGTGAGTAAACATTAATGTACAGGGCTGAAATGAGTGCTCTATATGACCTTCACGTACTCTGCTTCATATAACACCATCAATTAGTGCTGGAGCCTTTAAGCTGTATGAAGCTACGATCATTGTAAACTCTTGCTGCCATGGTACACACCCATCCCCTCTCGATGGTAACATGTTATGTCTTTGCACAGTCTGTGCTCCAGCTGGAAACTAACACTGACCTGGGGACAGGGGACCTAGGAATATATGCTTAGACATGTCTAACCAATTTGATTGAATAGTCTGAATTACTTCTCACATCATGTACATGTAGTTCAAGACATGAAAAAATATGGGAGCTGTTTTTTCTTTCCAAAACAAGAAATTGCAACCAAAGGCTCAATAAATTAACACATATGAAGCCAATGGAGCATGAAAGTTGACCCCTGATGGCACACTTCCAGAACCCTGGGATAGGAAAAATACCGAGTAAAGACTTTAGAGTTTGTAATATTTTTTCATTTAGTTTCTTCTTTAAAAAATCCAACTTGGAAAAAGGGCTTTGACAAATATTTGCTGGTATATCAATTTCCAGAAACTGAAAAATTACCAGATCTGAAAGAGAAATATCCTGCCAAAAATTGACCCATCACTTCCAAAAATCTAATATACTGTATATGTACATGAAAAACATTGAAATGTGGAAGTCTTGTATGCAGATGCACATTCACAGTTTGAAATTTTATTGTAGTCTGTGGGTAAAAGCAGAATAAAAAAAAATCAAACAAGACAGACATTGTATTTGTTGGTAGACAAACACTGCCCTGTTTCAGGAACAATTTTTTTTTCATGATTGCATATCTGCAAAGTTTCAACCTGCTGGGACATGTACTTTTAGAGATATACGGCTTTAAAGAATGCAAGTTTAATGTCACGTGACTTGTCATCTGATGACGTCATCAACCCATGAGGTCGAATTTCGTCTATCACACCCCCTTACAGATATCTGCAAAGTTTCAACCGGCTGGGACATGCACTTCGAGAGACTTAAATGATGCATACTTAATGTCATGTGACTCATCAACTGATGACAACATCATCCCATGAGGTCAATTTTCTATCACACAACTAAATGTTGAACACTGAAAGACGTCTTGTTAAAGTTATGTTAAAGAATGTTAAAGTGTCCTTACTATTTATAATAGAAAAGAGAAAAAATGCATTAGGGCATTTCACTATTGTATATTATATAAATACCTGTAAAGTTTTTTATGCTCTAGATACTTAAGGCCACGGTTGATTTTATATGGATTTTTATAAATTTAACGGAATATTTAAATATTCAAAATTTAATAACGAAGCACTTGATGACGTCATCATGAAGTAATATTTCAGTATTTTCTTCGTTTTTATAGTCAGTGCTTGCTGTAACTTTGACGACGATCAACGATTACTAAAGTACCAAAATAGTGCCTCGAAAATGTCTACAAAGTGAATGGGCTGAACTAAATATTGAAAAATCAATAATACATTTGATGATGTCATCATGACGTCACTCTTTGGCATACATCTATGCAATAATGACTATGCCTATGCCAACTTTGAATGCTGTGTGACAAATATTAATGGCAAAAGTGCGGCACAGAAAAAACGTGTGCAAAGTCTATGGCTTTTGGCCCAAAAAGAAGAAGAGCCCCCCAAAAATCCTGACAAACAGAAAGGCTTTTTCGCAAAATTGCGAAAAAGCCAAAAAAAAATTTTAAAAAAAATTAAGAAAAACAATAGCTGTTTCGGCCGGGAGAGCGAAACAGCTGAATAGTTTATACACTTTGATAATTCATAAGGTACATATAATAAACATAAGGCAATATTCTACTTCTATGAAAGATTGTAATATTTCATCTAACCTTTGCTGACAACTGCGTGATGTTAACTCAACGCAATCTGGAACCCATCAACTGCA